CAGTTAGAAAATTGGGATAAATTATGTAGGAAAACACACAACAAAGACACATGTAACAATGTCCAGTATCCGATAAAAAAAAAAAAAAATTAGATCTGGAGAGAATCAGGGAACTGTGCACCGCAATCAGGATAAAAATGATTACATCTCAATAAATCATAGAGATTATAATTGGCATACAAGAACTTTAAAACATCTATTATGAACTTAAAAACAAATAAAACATGTACTACAAGAGTGAAAAATGGAATCTATTTAAAAATTAAGTAAAAATATAAACAAAAATTCAACTAATAAAAGAAACAGAAATTTCAAAGATAAAAATATAATATCTGAACTGTATTAGCTTAAGAACAGATTACATTTCTGCAAAAGAAAAAAAAATCATTGAACTTGAGTACATAGTAATAGAAACCACACTGAAAGAAAGAGAAAAGTAATGGAAAAACCTAAGTGGTAGGATGTAACAAGGGGTTAAAATATGTGTATTAGGAGTTCCAGAAGGTGGAGGGAGAAAGGAGAGAAAAAAAATATTTGGAGAAATATTGACCAAATTTGCCTGGATTTTATGAAAAATGTCAACTTATAAATGCAGTAATCTCAATAAGACCTAATAAAATGAGAATTTTCACTGACTTCTCATCAGAAGCAATGCAATCCAGAAGACAAGGGAATATTTTCAAGTGCTCTCAAAATAGTTAAGTAAACTGTAATAAAATAGTACAAATTAAAGACATTTTCTTAAAAAAAAGAAAAGAAAGAAAACCTGAAAAAACATCAGACCTACATTACAAGAAATGGTAAAGGAGGTTGTTAAGGGAAATGATACCAAAAGGTCCTTGGAACAGCGAAAGGGAGTGAAGAGTGCCAGAACTGGATTGAGACACATGATTTGGAAAACAGAAAACATCCTAGCAGCAGCAGTAGCAGCAGAGGGGATAGATCATGTGGCAGTTTAACAGGGATGTTCTTTATAAGTTACATTCTTCAAAACTTTTCCCATCCTACCAGATTTGAATTTAATATGGGATTTAATAATAGTTTAGCAGTAGAAGCTTTGTTCAAAAACATAATAATAATTACTATTGCTAGCTTAAAAATAATCTTTTTTTCATATTTCTCACAGATGTATGAAATTACCACAGTGTGCCTAAGATGAGACCTTTAAAAACAAATTTTAAGTAACTGATAAAACAATCTACAGTAAAAAGGAAACTATTGGAGCTCTTTCTCTATTACCAATTGATTATTTAATTGATTACAAACCAAACTTACTGGTTTTCAAAATCCATTAATCTAAAAAATCTCTTGAATTCAGCCAAAATGGGTACAGGAGGTACATTAGAAATCCATTTAAAAACATAAATAACATTGTAAATAGAAAACTCATAAACTACTGATGAAGAAGAATGAGAAACTAGCTCTTAAAATTACCACTTAATAGCAGGTTAACCAAGAATCCATATACTCCTCAAGTAATTGTGTTTCTATTATATCAGGACAAAAAGGAATTAATAACTTTTTTCACATGATGTTAAATATTTAGGCATGTAAATTTCAAAACCAAACTCAGATGGTACATTTTTTATTTTAAATTGTTTATAAATTTGGAATATCGTATATGCAATCTAAATGATAGCCAGGAAGGCTGTCTCACCTTATGTATCTACTATTGAATATTAATGTAGAAACTTATTTGTACAGTATTGATAGTTCATTGGCTTCAACTCTCTTTAAAGAAATGAGAGTAAGGGGTACCTGGGTTGCTCATTTGATTAAGTGTCTGTCTTCAGCTCAGGTCATGATCTCTCAGTTCACGAGTTTGAGCCCCACGTCAGGCTCTGTGCTGACAGCTCAGAGCCTGGAGCCTGCTTCGGATTCTGTGTCTCCCTCACCTTCTGCCCCTCCCCCACTCTCTCTCTCTCTCAAAAATAAATAAACATTAAAAAATTAATAAAAAAAAAGAAATGAGAGTAAAGGCCATCAAATGCCAGAGATAAAATTAAATATTCTTCTGTTCATATAGAGGTAGAAAAAATGAGAATATGTTGAAGATGTTTATAACTTTGAGTCAAATTTGAAATAAAAAATGAGAATTCTGCCGGGGCACCTGGGTGGCTCAGTTATTTAAGCTTCTGACTTCAGCTCGGGTTACAATCTCACAGTTTGTGAGTTCAAGCCCCACATCAGGCTCTCTACCTTCAGCAGAGGCTGCTTCAAATTCTCTGTTTTCCTCTCCCTTTGCCCATCCCCAGCTCATGCTCACTCTCTCGCTTTCTCTCAAATAAACATTTAAAAAAAAAAATGAGAGCTCAGTTATTACTGTTCAGTACTGTGAATCATATTAATGATATTGTGTGGTGGCCATTTTACATTGTTTGGAAGTAACTAGGGGTCATTATTTTTTTATTTGTCTTGAACAAAAATAAAAACCAGATTTGAGAAATCCCAGGAATATATGTGAGTACAGATGTTTTCTCATGGAAAGGGGGATAACATGCAAGAACAGCATTCCTGTAATCTCATATACAGGTGATTTTTCATGATTTCTTGTCCTTAATGAATCTATTATACATGGTTACATTGTAACTTGTATCAATTATATATCTTGTGTTTCCCTTTTACTTTTTAAAAATTCTGTCCCAGAAACCAAATTACTATAAGTTAGTCAAATTCAAGGGGGTAAAGTTCCCAACATTAGAAACTGTCTAGGGGCGCCTGGGTGGCGCAGTCGGTTAAGCGTCCGACTTCAGCCAGGTCACGATCTCACGGTCTGTGAGTTCGAGCCCCGCGTCAGGCTCTGGGCTGATGGCTCGGAGCCTGGAGCCTGTTTCCGATTCTGTGTCTCCCTCTCTCTCTGCCCCTCCCCCGTTCATGCTCTGTCTCTCTCTGTCCCAAAAATAAATAAACGTTGAAAAAAAAAATTAAAAAAAAAAAAAAAAGAAACTGTCTAAAAACCATGTGATTACAGTTTACTATTTAGATTTGGTGTTTCTGGGTACAAGTTTGACTTATTTTTTGCTAAATGAAATTTCCATATTCACAGTGAAAAAGATTTACATGAGAGTTTGGAAACCGGTTAACTCATCCTGAACAAGAGTGCCAGAGGTTAATGTGTGGAAGAACTGGAAATTTTGAATCTGTTAATACAGAAGAAATCAAATAATTTTGAATTCATTCAGATTTAAAGGCTGTGAATTTTTTTTCTTGCTAACAAAGTCCAGGGTGAATAAATTAATATTTATCTTTTAATCCATAATATGTGAATGTGATTTGAATTATAGAATTCTATCATGTATCTCACTGAGTGATCATAGAATCATTTTCTTTTAGAGCATTTCTCATTGCTTCATATTCATTTAAAAAGCTATAACTTTCTTCATACTTTTCATCCTCATAAATAATAAGGATCTTCATGAACAGAGGAAAATATTTAAATATGCACATACATTATGCTATTTTTGAACTGTGTTAAACTAAGTAAAACATTCATAACCATTTCTATCAATAGCATTTTTCCAAGACCATTTAATTTTTTTAATTTTTAATTGTAAACTGTATATTAATTCACAAGCTTCTAATGTTTCAAGGGAGGCATATGTACACATTATCTTAAATAAAAACCAGGTCCATGTCTAACCGTAATGAAAATATAAATTAAACTTAAAAAACAAAAAGATTAATAAAACCCATAAAAACTTTAAGCTAACAATTACAAATGAATATTTTCCCTTCTACAACATGTAAGAGCCAAACATTTCTGTTTTACTTACAATGAACTGACTTCATTGTAAACTTACTGTGTGAAATATTGTTTTGTTTTCTAGTCCAGTCATTTTTGACACTTGACAGAGTGTTACTTGTTGAGAGGATTTGTAGTACGTTTGAGCCAACATCAGAAAGAGGAAGAAAATATTTAAAGGTTTTTAAACTAAGGCTCTAAGTTAAAAGATGAAATAAATTCACCCTACAATTTCTAAACAATACAAAGTCTCCCTTCCATCCTTTGTAATATTACATTTAATGAGAAACTAAGTCTTGAAAATGCAAATAGTGCATTTTTTAATTCAAAAGTCAAGGTAGACAATTTTAAGTGTATAAGTTCAGTAATTATCCTGCTCATAATTTGTTCCATCTTAGCTTAAAAATTTTAACAATATCAAGAGCATAAGAGTATACAGAACCTGAAATAAATGCTCATATCTGTTGAAATCTGACCTGTGCCCCTTTTAGTTTTTATTAACTTCTCTTTTTCACATAAATGTAAATTCATATAGATATATAATTAATGGAATAGTATGTTCATGGTGAATGAAATGAAAAGTCATATATCTGTTTATCTTTAAGAGGTTATACATGTTCATTAAAACAAATGCTTTCCAATGCCCTTTTTCTTTTTTTTTTTTTGATTTGGTCCTGTTGGCAATCTTTTTTTGCCCAAGTTATTCCTAAGGAGGATAGGCCACACAACTGAACACAAAGTTATACAGAATGCATCAGGACTGTGGGATGTCACAAATATTCAGTTTACTGTGTTTCCTTTGATAACAGAAAGAGAACCTTTTCTTGATGTGTTAAGAGCTGTGAGTGGGGCAAGATAACTAATGTCAGAAAAAGTAAGAAGGAACATAGGCAAAAGATGCAAAAGTGTAATCCACTGATGGGAAGGATGAACATATTAGCTTTTCTCCTCTGCTCCAGCTGTAATTCACTATAATAATGAAAATTTTTCTTTATCCATATATGTGATTCATAGAGTGGTATCTACAGATTCCAAGTGACTTTTGACTCAGGTAGTACACCGGTAGTATTCTTTTATGCTAAATTCTGGAATGGTATTTATGAATAGAGTTAAGTTACTTTCTACCAATATGTTGAATAAATCAGCCACCCAATCTGAATGCATATTCTGACCAGTTTACAGCAAGAATAATATATTGTAGAAATAATATAAATATTCTCTCTCTCTCCCCCTCCCTCCTTCTCTTCCTCCATGTCAGATTTCTGGGCCATTGGAGAATTTTACTGGCTGCATAGAAGTTATGGAAATCAATAACTGGGAATCTTTCATCCCATCCAAGGCAGTGAAAAAAATTCACATTGAAAATTGCAGGTAAAATCCATTAATGATTTTTCAAATACTTGTTTGAATAACCACACCAAAAGGTAACATTTCCATTTGAAATCATCTAATGAGGATTAGATTACATTTCCTTCATTTTGATGTTTTCTTTATAGTGACATACTATATTTTTTTACAGACTATAGAATGTTTAAGCTATAGCCCAATTAAATTGGACCATTTATTTATAATGGGTTTCACCTTTCTGCTACATAAGATACATCGTGTCAACCAACAAATGATAAGTTAGTCTTGATTAGAAAATATCATCTTTTGGAGTGTTTGAAATATAAGCATGCTGTCATGCATGTGGTGTATTGTTCAGGTTGCTTAAATGTTTCTTTTAAAATGTCATTCTCAAAAAGTTGTCATTGTGCTTGAATTCCCATTATTTGTGGCATTCCTTTCAAATAACCTTCTTCTAGCTATAGAACTATCTGTATATGTGGAGGGAGGTGGGGTGGAGTTGAAGTAACGAGATGGTACATTTGAACATTTTTTTTTTCAACGTTTATTTATTTTTGGGACAGAGAGAGACAGAGCATGAACGGGGGTGGGGCAGAGAGAGAGGGAGACACAGAATCGGAAACAGGCTCCAGGCTCCGAGCCATCAGCCCAGAGCCCGACGCGGGGCTCGAACTCACGGACCGCGAGATCGTGACCTGGCTGAAGTCGGACGCTTAACCGACTGCGCCACCCAGGCACCCCACGAGATGGTACATTTGACACAATATTAGGCATTCGTGCCATTGGTACAAATTGGTTAAATTTTTTTTTCTCTGATGGTGATGAATAAAGGATCATTTATGGAGCCTTATGGTGCATTGGAAAATGTGCACCCAGGTTAGGTAGGATAGTGTGATGAGGCAGGATGTTTGATCACAGAACAGCCTGCTTGACAATAGCAGAAACACATTGACTCCACAAAAAAACTGTGAATTATTGAAATTCTTCTGTGGACTGTGGTCCAAGATGAATAAAGAGTCACACAATGACTGTTCTTAAGGAGTTTATGGTGTACTAGAGGAGATATTGATGAAATATGCAAATGAATATATACATATAAAGTGTGCTTTGGGGAGAAAACAGAAGGCTATGAGAACTTTACATATTTGAATATCAGCAAATTGGTGTCCTTCACAGTTTGGCTGGGGGGTAGTGTATGTTCAAAAATTGAAGAAGTACTTTAGAAAGTAAAAGGCTAATTCATTCCCCAGTGTTTCACCTGTAGGCTATACGTTTAAAATATATTTGTGGCATCTATCATACAGTGGTAGACATAGTGATTATTTTATTTGTTTTTACTCAAATTAAAACTTAATATCTTACATTATACACAATAGATGGGTTCCAGCAATTTTAATATAAATAAAATACTCATAAATCCTTATATATTTTACCATTTATTTCTAATTTTTTTGTTTGTCTCAATTTGTTATTGATTTTCAGTGAGCAGTATTTCCTAACAATTAGTTACCTCTCAGATTCTTTGCTCTCTAGCTTCTCTGTTAAATATTATGATTTGCAACTCATAGTTAAATGAATAATGATTTTACTAGGAAGCAAATCCATTGAAAATGATATACTCCTTTGATAATTTATATAATCATATGCTAATGTAGCAATTGATAAAATTTTCTATTTTTAACTTTATAAAAGTAGGACATGCTTAACTTCTCTTTGTAAGAATGAGTATAAAAAAAACAACAACAGAAAATCACTATGTAATCTCAGCTATCTGGAAGCCCTAAAACTTTTCTCAATCTCTCTTCTATTTAAGTCCTGTTTTATTGCCCTTCAATGCCATTAATTTGACCTTCATTCTGCAATATTGGTTCTTTAAATACTATCTATAATTTAATGCTGCAAATGGTATTATCCCTCCCTATAACATCCAACACAGCTATAGACACATGAGAGGCATTTTGGCTATAATTAGGGTTAGGGCAAACAGAGACTATTAAGTTTCTCCGAACAGTCACTCTACTTCTCTCACCAACCCCTACTAGTACTTGATTTCATTTAAGATCACCTTTCCCTTTTTTTTTTTTTCCTTTTAACATTTATTGTTTCTGAGAGACAGAGAGAGACAAAGCATGAGCAGGAGAGGGTCAGAGAGAGAGGGAGACACAGAATCTGAAGCAGGCTCCAGGCTCTGAGCTGTCAGCACAGAGCCCGATGCAGGGCTTGAACTCACGAACTGCGAGATCATGACCTGAGCCGAAGTTGGACACTTAACCGACTGAGCCACCCAGGCACCCCTATGATCACCTTTCCTAAGACAGACATTTCCTAAGACGAGATTGGGTCTAGAATGAAGTTTTCAAAACATAATTCTGCAAGTAATTGGCTATATGACACCAAGTAAGGTTTAACTGTTCCCTATTCCTCCTCAGTCTTATCCGTGAAATCAAAAAAATAACCCTTGCCTTATAATGTTGTAAAAAAGATAAAATTGGACTCTCTTCTTTGTTAAAAGCTCAGAGACATTGAGCTTCATTGCCAAATTTGCTACCATGTCCAGGAAATTGCATCTTCTAATCGGTCTCCCAGAACCCACCTCTCTCTCTCCCCACCTTCCTCATTCACAAGTCTGGCTTCTTCTCAACATTTAGCCCTCAACTTTACTATGACCTCATCTAAAAGGACTTTCTAGACGATCCAAAATGAAATGGCCTCCCCTCCATCATGTCTCCTACTCACTGTTTATTTCCATATTATTTTTTATTCTTATGAGGAATGACACTATTTGAATATATTTATTTGTTCATAGGTTCCTTTTATGACTCTTGTCACCATAATGTGTGCTCCTTGTGGGCATGGACTCTGTAGAACTTTTCCACTGCTATTTCTTCATGGCCTGGAATGGTAGATGCTCAAAAATTTACTGTATAAAAGATCCGAGATTCAATTATGATTTCTTCACACAAATTTTTATTATGAATTATTATTATTATTTTTTTTAGATTCACACTACAGAGTGATTCTCAAACTTTTTGGTCTTTGCACCCTTAAAAAGAGTGCTGTTTTTGTTGGCCACAAGGGGCCTTTTTTTTTTTTTTTTAATATTTATTTTGTTTTAGAGAGAGAGAGGGCGCATGAGTGGGGGAGGGGCAGAGAGAGACAGATCATGAGTGGGGGAAGGGAAGAGAGAGAGCAAGACACAGAATCCAAAGCAGGCTCCAGGCTCTGAGCTGTCAGCACAGAGCCTGATGTGGGGCTTGAACCACGAACTGCGAAATCACGATCTGAGCTAAAGTCAGATGCTTTACCAACAGAGTCACCCAGGTGCCCATCAAAGAGCATTTTTTAATGTGGAATATATTTATTAGTATTTACTATATTAGAAATTAAAACTAAGGAGGTTTGAATATATTTTTTTTAATTCATAAAATAAAAAAATAAGTTCATTACATGTTAGTATAAATAAGAATAGCATATTTTTTGAAAAGTAAGTGTACTTATTAAAACATAAAAATGAGAAGAGTGGCAGTGTTTCACATTTTTTGCAGATATCTTTATTGTCTGACTTAGTGAAGACAAGTGGAAACTTAGATGTGTTTCTGTGTTCAATCTGTACAATAATTATTCTGCTGAAATAGTTGAAGAAAGTTCTGGCCTCATACATATGTATTTAGAAATGATAGCAGTGTTTTAATAACCTTTTTAGACAATTGGGAATATTCTTCTTCGTACCAAAACTTGGTAAGTAAAAGATTCTTAAAGGTTAGTTGCAATGTAGAATGTGAAACCTGATGATCAATGAACCTCTTATACTCTGTTACACTAAAATCCATTGTTCTTTTTCACATTTGGAATGGATCTTTTACCCATGCACAATTTTTTACTGTCACTGGAAAACGTTGTTTCTTGAGTTATTCAACTATCCCAAATGTCAACACATATCAATATAAAATATCAAAAAGTCCTATCTGTGACTAATATATAATATTACTTAATAATATATATATATAATATATTACTTCCTACATATTTTAATAGACACCTACATTTACTTCACTAGTGTTCTTAATAAGTAGAGGCTTGAGGTGTCTTGTGCCCAGGGTGTGAAAGACTGATCATTCAGGCTCCATGGATAGATATCATATAGTATGACATCAAGAGCAGCTAAATCAACTTTCCACCCCTAGGTTTTTTCCCTAGAGAAGCACAGATATATGACCTCATGACACTTAAAATAGCCTTATTAAAAATAGTAAAACATTGGAAAGTAAGGAAATGGATGTTTAAAGGGATGATAAATATGATGGAATTACTTATAAGTCAGTTGAAAACAATGAAATAACATTTACATGTATCTGTGTGGATAGATCTGAAATCATACCATTTAGTGAGGAAAAAAAGGATAGCTGTAGCAATATACCATTTGTGTGCACTTTTGAAACTGTGTTATATACAAACTGGTCCCTTATTACACATTTTCATATTTCTCCATATAATATTAAATACTCTAGATTATGTGAACCCTTTCTTTCTTAAATAATCACTATTTCTGAAGGAATGTGTTGTATAATGAGGAGAGGTATTTAAACAGAAGAAAATGATTCACGAACAAAAAACAAAGCATCAGATTATTTTCCACTTTCAATTCTTTATTCACAAATCATCTCAGCAGAACATCAGTGTCATTAAATCAAACATTATTAACTTTCAAAAAAGAGTAGGTTATAAAGTATATATCATGCCTTTATAAATTTGTGGAAACATTCTAGAATCCTACTTTAAGCAGATATTTGATTTAAATGTTTTATTAATAAAAGACTAAGGTATAGAGTTTTAACGTTGTAGCAATACATCAGTGCTATTATTGTTTTTTTTTACAAAATAAGCATCCTATATCATTTTCAAGTGGATGATATGAACCTCCAAAATAAAGTGCAAAAACAAAATTTGATTACTCAGTAATGGGAATACAAAGTTCATAATTTTATTCACTCAAAAAATATAGGCAAATTAAATCTAAAATGAAA